GAAAAATAATTTATTGTATTTTGTTTTCATCCTTACAGATTTATTGGAAAGTTTCTGCATTTGCTTATTTCTTCGCGGGGAAGAGCATTACAATTAAAACTGTTTACTGCATAGCAAAATTAATTTAAAAAATTAATTGATAGATAAAAAAATTTGCTACGCTTTTGTTATGCTGACAAAACATTCATTTTTAGGAAGTTTAGAGGGTCTTGGTACCCTACAGGAAACAACAAATTTTGTTTTTACACTAACCGAAAAGGATTCTGGGAAAGTGCGGTACGGAGTATGTCTGAACTTTTACCAAAGCTTTGAAACACACAAACCAACTACTTCAAAAAAACAGAAGCAGAATGAGAATACGACCAAAAAAGTTCGCAGGTTGTGTTTTTGCTCAATTTTTTAAAGTTAATTTTTTAATTGCTTCATTTTATTATTTGAGACTTCTTCTTCTTTTGCCGAAGACTAGCTGCTGTAAAAATGCTTACCTTCTGGGTTTTGATTCCAGGCGTTCACAAGGGGCGTCGCTAACAAGTCTATGTCTTATCAGTCACCATACTTTCCTATCGTCGTTTCGAGAACTTCTAACATTGTTAAAAAAACTCATTGACAGCTGTTGCCATCGCATATCGTGTGCAGATAAAAATGCCAGGTAAAATCATTGTCGTCCGAAAATTCGTTATTAGATGGGTTACATTATGATTGTTTCAAAAGCCTGCCAACATGTAGACAGATCTTCCATTTTATTTCATTTCAATTACTGTACCTCGGTGGCTCGTAAAAGCTTTAATTTAAGACGTAGCATAATTTTTAACAATTAATACAAAACTGGAACAGGAGATTAATAACAAAATTCGATTTGACTAAGAAAGTCAACCAATAATGAGACTAAAATTTAAAGATTTTAAGAATATTTTTGTTATATATTTTTTTAATCTTTCACAGCCGTTATAAATTTACTGAATAAAAATAAATCTGTTTAAAGACCATGTTTCTGAAACACTTTGCATGAGTTCTGAAAAGCTTCAGTTTGAGCCTGCAGAAAGGTTCTCAACTTTTTGCGGTCAACAATATATGGTCTTTAAGTTGAGTGCTCAGTGGAAGAACTTCTGGCTGTGCTGGTGCTACAGTGACTTATTGAAAATTTAGCGTGGAAAAAATATTGTGGTGTAGTTCCAAACAGAGAGTTTAGTTTTAGTTGTCTGAAGTTATCTTTAAAATAGTTTTCATTTTCATAAAAACATTGTTATAAGGGTAGATTCGAGTATAGCTTATAAGACCAAACGGATTTTTTTTCAGAAATTCTTTGTGGGCTGTCTTGACTGGTCATTGGACAGGCAGTATTCCCGACACCTTGATGCAGGAGGTTCGCGAAATCGAAACATGGATTCTGATGCTGCTAAGTGCTCCAGTACCTGTTCCAGGAAAAACAAAGGTGCAGTTAGAGGTAATGTAAATTGAAGTATAGTTTCGAAATTAAAAGAAATTACTGACAAAGCTGCACAAGAATGTTTTGTTTTAGGACAAGTAAATAGAGTACTTTACATAATTATTCTAAGGTGTAGAGTCACCAAGATGATGATGCTTTTCTATCAACCTTAGCTGAAACCTTAAGCAAAGATAAACCGTTAATTAGGAATACGTTTTCGATTTCTTGAATTAGTTTTCCAGGTGATGCCCACAAGTTTGATGCCCATATTAGAGTTTACGATGCCAGACCACACGCGATTTTTCCTGGTAGATTTTCCATTGCACATTCTCTTTGAACTCTTGGGGGTCAAGGATGCAATCAGAATCATATCTGCTGTGATGCTCGAGTATAAAGTATGTGTTTTTTTGACTAACTGCTTGAAAGTCATTCTTTATTGGGATAGTCACTACTTTTTGAAGATCTTTCCGTTTATTATTCATTTTTGATGCTCTTTAAACATTTCATTTTTTTTACCACTCTTTATTGAAGAGAAATCTTAAAAACAGGTGATACTGCAGTCGCGTAATTTTAACGCAGTAAGTTTGTGCGTCCTTGCGATTGTTGCTTTGCTTTATCCTCTAGAATATATGTTTCCCGTTATTCCTCTCCTCCCATCATGCATGCCATCAGCTGAACAGGTTTGTTTTTTTTTTTGTTTTGCTTCGAAAACTTAATATACTTCAGTGAAGTATTTCGAGAAGCTTATTCGATGCCAGACTGTAAAAAACATTTTTCTTTTAGCTTCTAATGGCGCCAACTCCCTTCTTAATCGGAGTGCCCTCATCATTTTTTGTTTTCAAAGATATATCAGCTATTCCTAATGATATAATTGTTGCTGATCTCGATAAAAATACAGTCACTATCCCTGAGGATTTGGAAATTCCTGAAATACCTGAGCCAGAGCTCAGTACTCTGATGGTAGTTCCCTTTTTTCAAAAGTTGTTTCCGTTCTTCCAATAGTTCTGTCAGATAAATCGAAAAAGTACAAATTGGAAAAAAATCTGGTTTTTTTGATTTAGAACGATATACAATCTGCGCTTGGGAAAATGACGTCAAGTGGTGTTACGGAACATTCAGTAGAAGTTCAGAAGAGCTATGAGTCTAGTTACGTAATGGACAGCGACGTAACTGACGTAGCGGTTAGAGTCGCCATTGTGAGTTTCCTGTACACTATTATACATACATATACCTCGTTCACATCCGTTTCGCTTACCTCAGAGAAACACAGTGTTGTTCCAGATTCGTTTTTTCAACAGTTCCAATATATTTGCTAACTTCACTGAACATACGAGGACGCTGAGGCTATACCCGAGGCCAGTTGTGGCTTTACAGTTAGAATCTTTCATGCGCAGTCGGCCAACGTTTAGCCAATTCACTCTCCACCTCTGCAAGTAAATTTATAGTGATGTCTTAAAAATTATCAAACATAGAAAGAAGTCGTGAATTAAGACACTTTTTTGGTGAGCTTAAATTGACAACAATTGTAGAACGCAGGCGGTCGAATACTTTGCTGAATGTTCTTTATGCCCTCATAACGAAGCATTTGTAAGAGTTGAAACCGGAATTGAAAACCCTGAACAAATTGGTGATAAAGGCAAGTGGTTCAGCGACTCTTTGATGCCTGTTAACTTTACTGTACGTTTCTTTTAATAGCTTTTTTACTTTTAGGGTTTTTTAATTAAGACGTCTATTCTTCTCTTTGACAAAGTTGCTTTTCAAAGATTACTCTAAGAAAAAAATGAATAAAAAAACTTCTGGCACTTTCCTGCAACTAAGCGCTAGCTGGAGAGTGAGTTCTAGGGACGAAACACTATCAGCCGCAGCAGTGTTTTGAAAACAGTGTAATTTTCCAATGTCCCATTGTCATTCTCTGCCCCGTAATCATTTCTGATTGTAAGTATTTGGAAAATTAAGGATAAAAAAAGCACGAAGGACACATGCGGAAATATTCAAATTATGGAAAAGAGATTGAGAGCCGACAGGAAATCCGAACAGAAATTCTCATAACTGTGAAATTCCCGCGTAGTCACTTTTCCGCAAACATCGTTTCCATAACTCAACTTTTACTATGCAAATTCTGCCAAATTTGACTAAAAAAACTCAAATGTTCCTCTTTTTCACTTCTTCTCTGTTTTTTATAGAATTTAGAGCTTTTTAATGTTATTAGAACGTTTGGGGTCAGAAGAGTCCTGTTGCTGCGTCCTTTACAAGGACACTAGCACTTCAAATTTCCAGCATCTTTTCAGTGAATAACATGCTGAGGAACAAAACCAAATGGTGGGACCTTCGTGTTAATATGAATTCCAGCTTAGCTGGCAGAATATCACTGGTTCTGTCACAAACCTGTCGTATATCGTTTTTCTCGGGTTTTTTCTGGCTTTTTCTTGACAAATTTCATACTGTCTTTCTCTCAGCGGAAAGCTGACATAGCCTTTAAACCATGAATTCTGCTTCATCTATTTCATTTTCCATGTCCATTCCAATCTAGCTGCCGCAAAGTGAAAGCAGTTCGCCACTGCCTTGCATTTTAGAGAGTCGTAGCCTCTCTTGCGGCGTCTTATTAACAGAGAAAGTGTCAAGTTCTTTCGAGTAAAAGTCCCATTCTTGACTGTGGTTCCTTGTACACTGACGGTAGTTTCTAGGTCTATCCGGATGACTCGACACTTGCCGCCGCTTGGCAACAAGCAGATAGTGCAGATACTGATGAAGGTGTTTTTTATTAAAATATGTGTATAAATATTTGATATTTGTGTAGGTTGTGTTATGTTGGATACCATGCTTTGATATTTTAAGTCTCAGAATATTCTGGAGCTCATTCGACCAACAGTTCTAGTAGTTTGCATATGGGAAAAAAGATATAGCTGAAGCAGGACAGGGTTTACAGAAATGTTTTTCATCATAAATTTTTAACATTTCTGCAAACCTAGGTTCTGAAGATGAAACTGAAAAAGAAACTTCGGGAGGAGAAGATGGAGAGAACAGCGAATTTATGTGCACATCAGTGGAAGAAGACAGTTTCAATGGTAATTTAACTTGTAAACGAGTTTGAGTTTTCAATCTAAAATGGGTAAAGTTTACAGAGTAAAAAATCTACCCGTAACATTCTAGGTGCAACAGAACCATTAGGTAAAGTAAATCAAGTTTATAAAGAACCGACAACGCTTAAATTGCCAGTCGAAGATTTGGAACAGTCGAGTGGTAGTTCTTTAAGCAGTGCAAGGTATTTAATTATCGTGGGCTAGACATTTCTAATGACTGATGATATTTACTCGCTTGGTTGAGTTTGCTTACAACTTTAACGTTTAGGTCTAGTATATCATCAGGTGTTTCCACATCTGCCGTCGACAGCGAAGGAGATTTTGCCCGTCTTGTGGAAAACTTGGCTCTGAAATCCGACGCAAAAGTAGACAATGTTTTTTTTGTTTTAACTGACACCACTGTTTGTGTACAATTCTTGCTTCCTTTTCATTTCCATTTCAGGGTGAATTATCATTTGACCATTCTGACGATGGTGATTTGGATACTCCCAAATGTTTTCCTGTTTCTAACGTTGAGACTTCTGGTAGTCGTTTCCCATCTACAACAGCTTCTTTGAAAGCAGCTGGCAAAAAGGTTAGTGTGCAGCTTTAAATTACAAGAAATGTATTATACTGTTTTGGGATTTAACAAAGACACTTACCAGTGAAGTTGATTACACGTTCTATCCATGTTTTTTTTTTTAATAAAAGATAACTGTTGGTATACTTTTAGGGTATCGCTCATTTGCATGAGTCGGGAGAGAAAGTCTTCGGTCCTCAAATTATGAATGCAATTAATGGTTATGCTGAGAAGAGTCAAGATGTATTTAATCAAGTAGTTATTTTTTCCATGAACATTTGCCCATAAGTCTCTTATTCATCTTTTTTCTTGAACTTTTAAATGTAGTTGTTGACTGCAATAAGAAAAAATTGTCATATTGTTAACTAATACATTATTTTTTAGGTACTAAATCGCACAGCACCGAAGGCGCAAGCCTTACGTGATAAAGCAGTAAGACCAATAGCAGTTGCAGCTGCCAACCGTGTTGAGCAAAGCCAACATATCATAAAGTCTAGAGCAAGTGTGTTGAGCGAAGATGCAGCAACACAGCAAAGGTGGTTTTAGTATTTTTATTTGAATAGTTCACTGCTTATTAAATTTGTAAGGTGTAGATTGTTAATAGTGTCATTTCGATCATGAGGTTAGTTGTTTATTTTGCAGTAAAAATCAACAGTCAGTTAGAGAAATATGTGAACAAGTTCTAAATGGGCAAGGTATTGGAGTATTTACCTATCCAAAGGTTCGTCGCCTCATGGAAGATGAAAATTTAAGGGAGCTGGCATGCTCCAAACTTAATTTAGGTCTAGATGCGAAGCATTCTGAAGAAGACTTTGTTCAAGATATGGTATGCACTTTTCTAACTGCATTCTGGTATTAATTTTCATCATAATATCACTTGCACTTATACTTTTTGTAAGGCCACACTAAATCAGAATTTTAAGAAGTTGAGCAAGGGGCAGTACAAAGGATATGTAAAGGTTCTTCAAGCTTGCACGCTTGGCATTGCTGATTCTTTCACAACACCTGGTTCTAACGGCCTTGCCTCTATGTTCCACGTTCTTGAAATTATTCACACACATTATTGGATGAAAGAAAATGAGGTTTCAACACCTTCTAGCGAGATTTCTAGCGTGGTTTGCATTTTTTTTTTTTTTTTTGATGTTTCGTAAAAGTTTTTCTGGAACTTATTTATCAGCATCGCTTTGGCTGTTATATCGGCCCTTAACTGAAGTTTTTTCAGATGAATACTCCTACAACGTCTGCTAGTGATTTTTATGCACAGTCTCCGCGCCATATTCCTCCACCACAGAGTCGAGTATCTCCCGTCGCTGCAAAACGATCTTCTCCGGTGACAGACACCGCCCTGAAAGAAAAAATTGGGAAACCTGTTCAAGTCTGCGGCATAGTACTGCGTAAGTATTGCTGAAATTCTTGTCGTCAAAAAAAGCTTTTATTAAAACTGACAGCTTTTAAAAAGGTTTCTGTCGTGAAAATTTCTAAAACATATTTTTATTACATGCAAATACTTTTTTTAGCTACAGGTCCTCCACCACCAATTCCCCCGCGCCCAGGTTTACTAAAAAGCAAGGCTATAACAGAATCTCCTAGTGTTGAACCAGCACCGTCGGATGACAAAAAAATTAGCACTAATAGTGTTCAGAATTCGCAAAATGTGACGGTGCAAACAGCCGATAAACCTAAAGAAACTTACCCGGTACAGTTTAGAGAGTCTCTAGTTCTAGTTTCTTTCCCTGATTTAATAGCTTTGATCTGACTAGTTATTAGTTTTTAGGGTATGCAACTGGAAATCCCAAAAAGCTTAATTTTGAAGACGGTACTGCCTCAAGGAAGCGTTGACAGTCTTGGTGGGCAGCGACACTATCTGTATGAAAATGTTTTAGGTTTGTTATTCTTCAGTTCTTGTAAAGACTGGTTTTAGCGATACTCAGAGTTTCTTATACTAGCTCAGTAATTATTTCAAGTAACACTGCGCTATGGTACCTCGGCTTGAGAAGGAAAAAAGTTACGTTATTACCAAGTACCTGCAAACCTTTGGCATCCTTTATACACTTTGGGTCTTGAAAAAATAGTTGTTTTTATAACAGATAATAAATTGAATAGACCATAATCAGATATAGTTGAAGATGTAGTCAAGATCTAGTTGCACTAAATTTCCGCATTAGTGCATTTGATTTACAAAATATGCGGCGTTTACTTATAAATTTTAATGCCACTTCACGTGTTATCATCGAGTGCTACAGTCGTCACATTCAAACAGTCTTTTTACTTTTTCAAAAAACTTATTGTTTTATGCGGAGTTAGAGCGAGTTGGGTTATTGTATTTCTTCATTACATCAGTAAAGAAAATGAATTTTTTGTTTCTGCTATTCTGCTTTCAAAGTTCGCAACCCAGACCAGAGGCTGGCATTTTTTGACGGTCAAAATACTAAAAACAATCACTTTTGCACTTTTTATTTAGGATTTTCCAGAAAATTTTCTGGTTTGGCTTTAGTGAGGAATTTTTTTGTATTTTTACCATTTAGTGATTAGTAAAATAAATTCTTGATGGGTTTTTTGGTTTACGTTTTTCAAACTTTCTACATGACTCAAAATCACTTTAAAACCCTATTTAAAAACTGTAGAGCCCCGGAGACGATGCTTTATATGTAAAGAGAGAAGGAAGTTTTAAAACGGAACTGTTCTGTTTGTATCTTTATAAAAGAAATATAGGATAGTTTTTAAATGATCTTGAAGTCGACGTTTTTGCTCCATTAACCATCTATTTTTAGTTCCAACGCAGAATCCACTTTGGAACAATATGGTATTTTGGGAAAATATCTTTTTTGATGTTGTCGCTAAAGAGAGGGATATTGTTGGGATGGACCAAGAACCTAGCGAAATGATAGATCGGTACAGTAGTTTATCGGACTCTGAGAAGAAACGTTTGGAACTTGATGAAGATCGTCTTCTTGCAACTCTATTGCATAATCTTACTGCCTATATGGTAATGTGCGGAGTGGATCACAAAGTCTTAACTCAGGTTAATTATCGCATGATTTTTGATTTGTAAGTTGAACAACAATAGTTAGTTTGTTATCTACGTTTTTACCAAATCAAGTGGTTGAAAAAATGTTTACCTTATGGAGATGTATGTTCTACTTTTAAAAAACTGTTAATTGCTAACGTAACTTTCTTTTGGTGTTCAGAAAGTTCGTCGTTTGTTGGGCAAGGCACATATTGGTTTGGTTTACTCGAAAACTATTAATCAATTGCTCGACAGTTTACCCACGACGGTAACATTCTGTATATCTAATGACCTTAAAATATTGGTCTAGTAACTTAATATTAACTGGTTTAGAACGGCAACTGCGTCTCATTAAAACCACTTGAAAGTCGCTTAGTTCAAAAGCAGTCATTTACAGTACACGCGGGCTCTAACTCACAAAGTGATCTTCTGTTTTTAGAGGTTCGGCTCGATTTGCTTTTAATACTCACTTCCATACTCTGTAAAATCGCTTTTTACAATCTTTCATTAACTCTGGACGGGTTAACCACATATAATCTATTCAGGTGTGCAATGATGCTGTTATTTTGAGAGCAGTCAATGGGATGATTACTGATCGATGGTGGTATGAAAGGCTTGTTAATATGACTTACTCACCAAAAACACGTGTTCTTTGTTTATGGCAAAGAGCAGAAGACAAAGTGCTAATGCATAAGTTTTACACAAAGAAGGTCTACTTTTTTTAATTAGAGTTTCCTTTCGTGTTCAGTTTGTTATGTTGCATGGTTTAGTGCAGAGAACTTTATGGATGTTTAAAAGCAGCGATGGAAAGAGCTGCAGCGAGAGGTAAGGTACCACTAACCGGACGGGATTTGGGGGGAGAATTTCCGGTGCAAGATGTGCAGACGAATCAGGGTGGCCTGCTGCAAGTTCGTATTGACGGTGTTGCTCTGCTTTTTGCTGATCGACAGGTTCTAAATACGTCCTCTCAAATAGCAGCTGTACGCATTCTAATGGACTGTAAAAAGATTTTAATTTTAGCAATTTATTGAAATTGGAAACATCAAAAAATGTAACACCTACGGAGGGAACATGTTTGTTCTGGAGGAGTTCGGTTAGTATCTTATCTAATTTATCTATTCCTGGTCACAAAAAGTTTTTTTTGATCTTTTAAAGTTTGATTTTTTTTAAACAGTATTCCATATCGTTTTCTTTCTTGCTCTTCCTCGTATTTAATTTATTTTTGTTACTTTAAAATTCAGTTTGATCTTCTTTTTCTCCTTAGTAAGAGATAGTGTTTCTAGACTGCAAAAAAAACGAATTGGTGCAAAGGCGGTTTATGTCCCAAATGGTAAGTTTTGCGTTTAGCCACCGCACCATTTGTAATCTGCACTTTTTTGTTGCTTGGATACGCTTCTTTGATTCGTAGTGCCTTTTTTGCTGAACGAAGATAACTTTTCCCTCTTTATTTATATTTCAAAAAAAGTGTTTTACATAATTTCTTTTGTATATTTAGAGTAGGGAAATTGCATGGTCACTCCACCGGGTGTTCTCTGTTGTGTATGCGTTGAAAGAAGTCGCTTCAAAAAGATTTAGACATGCAAGTGACACTTTATCAGCAAAATCCTCTTCTGAGTATGATTGTTCGATGGAAGATATTAGTGGCATGACAAGAGCATAATATTCTAAGACTTCTTTGTTAGAGATGTTAAATAATTGATGGGTGGCAGGGAGGAACAACTCTCAACAAAGTGAAGATTTTTAGATTGATCGCCACTAATTCAGTTTTTAAAGTAGAAACCACTTTTTTTGCCTAACTGTATTCTTCCAATTCATAGCTAATCTATCTCATTTTTCATGAAGTCCATTCCACCCAATAAGATGAAATTATTCTGTCTCTCTTAATGAAGCCTTCAATTTGCAGCAGCTAGTTAACTGTTTGCTGATTACATTTGCATTTTACATCGAGCATAATATTCTTATGTCAGATGTATTTTCTGGTGGAAGAAAATATTTTCAATAAATATAGAGGGAAACTAGGGATTTTGGAATTCAGGCTTTTAATATAATTTATCTATTGAAGCCAGTGTTTATATCTTAGATTTTTGGTCATAGTTACTTTATATTTTTTTTCTAATGACATCTCAGCCTTCAAATTTTCCAAATTACTGGTTTTTTGGTGTTTATCTATTTCACTTTGTGATTGCGGTCAGTGAGTGTATTAGGGTTTTTTTAACTCATTTAAATGTGAAGTGTGTTATTAGGAAATCAGACTCACCAATCATTTGAATTTATTATAAAGGAGTGTTGTTTTTTTTTTTTTTTGACTTGCTTATTTAGTTATTGGCCGTAGCTTTTATTCGCTTTATTCTTCAAATATAAGATGAAAAGACGAAGATGAATTGTCAAATTAGTAAGTTGTTAAACACAGTCATTTCTGCGTTTTTGGAGGGTTGGAAATAAAGCCTTTAGGAATCTCAGATCTTGTCTAGCCTGCACAAGGATCTTATTGTTGAATAGAGCTTAACAGATAATTGGGCTTTCAAAAAAAAATCTGGGCTTATAGAACTTTTAATTGATCAAAAGGTTTGCTCTATAGTTGTCGTTGTTGTCGTGTCGTACCATTATTTTGTTTATTAGTTACTTTTACTGCACTTCTTGTTCCCCAGTTTTGATCTGATTTTTTCTGCTCTCATCAGTTTTATTTGCCTGGTTTTGTTTTTTTTTGTATTGTAATTGTGTTGATATTGTTAATCTAATTCTTTTTAGTTTGTTGTCCAAATATGTTGAAGTGCACTCCCTTTTCTTCTTAACCTGTGAAGTTTTAGGTCTAATGATTTATTTTTCGTTTGGCAGTCTCATTGAGTTGGTTTGCTTTATTTGCCTAACAGCTCCTTCAGTTGCATACGCTTCTGAGGTTAGCAGTTGCTAAATAAAGGTGATGGTTTGATGATCACCGTTGGTGTTGTGGTGGCACAGCCGGATGTACTCAAAATGTGATTGTTTGTTGCTTGAACATAATCGCATGCAGTTAATAGTTGTATGAAAACTGTTCGTTTAGCAACTTTTCTTTCTTTTGTATATATACATAACGGTATTGGAAACTCTTAAAAAGATTAAGATTAATTTCGTTCATTAGGCTGATCAAATTTGTTATGCCGTACTTTGCGTATTTTCCTTCGTTGCGGCAGCACGAAATCAAGGTGAACGGAAGTTGACAAAAGCAATGAAGTCGCCGCCATTACGAACAATGGTGGAAAACCCGGTTTCATGAAAATGTGTAAAATAGTATTTCTAAAAGTTTCTGGTACAGTGCGAAAGATGCTAATATTTGTTTATTTTTAAACTGTAGCCAAAGATAATCATTTTGGTGCTTATGTAATGAAAACATGGCTCTGTCTATCTTCTCACTCCCAAATTTGTGGGGTCCAAATTTTGTATTCCTCACAGATGAATAAATGCCGTTACACAGTCATTGTTGAAAGAGTTTTTTACTCGAAGCTTCTTTTTGCTGTTATCATTACTGACCTACTACTTATGTCTTGCCTTATGTGGTTTGTTGAGACAGCTTTTGATGAACAGTAGAACCAGTAGCATTATTTCTTTTAATTATTCTAGTCAGTTAAGCGATTTTTGAACTATTATATTTTATACCATCACTACTGCTATTATTACCAGTGGTTTTGTTGGTCCCAGAAGTCATATTAATTTATTAAGTCCCTGTATAAAGCTTTTTGGAGTCATCACAATTTATATAAAGTTATTCTTGACACTGCAAATAAAACTGTTTGAATAAATGAACTCAAGTGGTTTTGTTAGCTGTAAAACTGCATTAACGCTTTATCCTATCACACATATTTCCAACTTCAAAATTACGAGGTAGCGTTGTCACCTTCTAGGTCAGGCTGTTTACTTTGAACGATTCTTTATCAGCCTTCTTTCTTTCAACAAAAAGTTTTACCATTTCATCATCAATTCGAACTTCTGAAGTGTTTTTAATACCGCAAAAGAAGAATAAAAAAGATAGTTTTTAGCTAGATATCCCAACTTTTTCAATAAAAGCTGTATTAAAAATTTAGATTTCTTTTTAAATGAATGTCGTATCTCTTGTTTATAATAAATTAGCTTTCGCTTCAATGAGGTTAGAATTGCGCTGGAAGACTGGTGTATCAGATTCTGATCAGCAGTAAGAATTGACAGTACAGCAGATGAAAAGCAAGATAATAATTTAGAAAGCATCAGGTTCCATAAAGACCATTAAACAATGTGCTATTAACTAACTACAGTCAAACGAGGCAGCTGCATTTTCATCCATTTGAAACGCAGCCAGGTTTCTTCCGTATTGTGATCTGCCATTTGGCATACCAGCTTTTGGTGCTGGCGAAGACATCGATTGTGACTGAAACTGCTAAGGATTACTGATAAAATAAAAGAAATATTAAAAATATAAGCATTGTTGACGCTTTGAACTGTGACAAAACGTTGGTTCCAAATTCATCTTTTTTGTATTCCCTTTTTACCTAATATTTTCTCATGCGTAGCAGAGTTTTATGGTTTTGATGTCACTGTAATTTTCTGATCCTAAAGTGGCCCACTAATCCATATCCATTGAACAGCGAATTAAACTGTAAAAGAACAGTTAACTCGTTGCCAGGGGCCTTGTCATAACCATCTGCATTAGAAGTTATACACAATATATAACATTTAATTTGTAGTTACCACTATAATCTACCTTAAACGAAAATAGCTTCATGGGAGAGCTGAACCGAAATATATATCATGAAACTAATAAATCTGATTTCACCAGTGCCAGGCCAAAAACTTTTAAGAAAAGTCAAATCTAGCATTTACTTTTCCACCTCCCCTAGCATGGCCTTGCTATGCAGCAGTATGAGAGTAGGAGGAGATTCTAAACGTCGCCTAACAATCATTTCATTCTCTGTTAAAAACTTTCTCAGTTGACTTCCTCGGCAAATTAGAAAAAAAAGTAGTCTATTTTAATAAACTGCAGCAATCTTTCTTCTGCATCTAAAACCAAGATCTCCCTACGGCCTCCTTTCAAAAAAATACGATTACAAAGAGTCCGCCCAAAAATTATAACTTTACAGCTAAAAAATCAATCATTGTAGATTAGTTGCCAATCCGTCCTGCAAAAGACTGTTAATAGTACTTATTGTTCTAGAAATTCCTCACCGAATATATCGTCTTCAAGTTTGTAAAAGGTATATTTTCTCGTTTTTCACAAGGAGGCAGTAACAAGTCATTTGCTCTTCCATACCGATCAAACAATGGCCCATTGACGGACGGGTTCCTAAAGTAAGGAATTGTTCATTTTTACAAGGCACACAGAGAAAAAATAATTTTTACGAACAGCATGAAAATTCCTTGGTGCCTTCCAGGCAACATTTTACTCTGTGTCCCCTTTTACTGTGCTGTCAAAAATGTACAGCGCCCCACACACGACTTCTACATCCTTCCCGTAAATAATTCTTCTGCTATGCCCTTCCAGTAAACTCATTAATTAATCCCGTTTCTCGTAAACAATTTTTGCTCTTCGAAACCAATCAAACGACAGTCCATTAACAGGCTAATGTGCCATTGGGCTTGCCAACCGCGATTTGTTCTGATGCTTAAGATTAACAAAAATCACGCTCACAGGTCAAATTTATCCAATCGTGGCAGTAGAACGCTTGAGACGATTC